GCCGAAGGCAGATGCTTAATGACTGAGCCACCCAGGCGCCCCCCCCCCCTTTTTTTTTCATCATTGGTTTTGTAACATATACTGAGATTAGTAGGTTTGTTGAATTAGAATAATTAATGGAAAACCAAATTCCGCCAAGTAAGGGTGTTTTTTGAGATAAATATTTAACTACTTATAAATTACATTAATTGCTTTGTTATTCCAGTAAGTGTATTTGTATTTGGAAATCAATTATGAGTTCTGGAGCTTTCATCTTATAATTTTATTCACTCATATTGGTAGGGGTTTATCATCATCATCAGTAACATTGATAATGTCTCTTGAGCATTACTGTGTGTCTGGCATTTTTCCATATGTTCTCATTTAATTCTCCTTTAAGCTGAGGGCAGAATTGGACTGTTCTTGAGCAGTCTTTGCTAGGACGAGTAGTGATTCCTTTTTCTACATCCTCTGAATTCTGCTTCTTTGGTATCCAGATTACAAATGTATCCTGGCATCTTTGGGAGCAATTCAACTCTTTCAGCAGATTGTCCCACTTTTTCAGTTCAGTAACATTTATTAAACACTTCTTAGACTTTCTTTTTGACTGTTTTATTCTAATTTAATTTACAATTTCCATCTTTTATGAGAAGTACAGAGGACATACTGATACATGTTTGCATATCTTACTTATATGATAAGGTAATGAGAGAAAATACCTACTAAGTTGACAGAGTATGTATTTTAGCCATACCAGATGTAATAGTACGCAACTCTTGAGAAAAATACTAAATGTGTGGCTTAATATTCATTGTAGGAGAAGGAACACAATAAAGAACCAGATTCAAACGTGGGCAAAGAAGTAGATGACAAGGATGCACCAAGGACTGAGGAAAACAAAGTACAGCAAAATGGGAATTGTCAGCCAAATGAAGAAAACCTCTCTACCAAAACAGAAGCAGTATAGGACTGACAAATGCACCTCTGAACACATGCTGGAATAAAATCCAAAGCTTTTGATTCTCTCGACAAGATGTTAAACAGTGAAGAAATCCAGTTGAGCATAAAGATACAGACTAACAGCTTTTCTAGTTGTTAGGTGACTTTGTGGCCATCTTGTTATGGAGTAAGAAAATAAAGCATGGACATCGTGAAAATAACACGTGTTACCCAAACTCATCTTCTAGAATCTGTGCATTTCCATGGTGGCTGACACACTTGTCATGTGGTTTGTTAGTGTTTGCCAAGAACTATTACAAATAAATGGGACATCAAAAATCCAAATTTGTACTATCCGTAAAGACTGGAGATAAGCATTGGAGACTCTTTTAAAAAATGGTAGTTGCTGAATTTTGTATTGTTTTACTTTTTTTTCCTTTTTAAATTTCAGTATATACAGATTTGATGATGTGCTTGAAATCGGTGCAAATATATACACACCCTTGTAAGTGCAGAGTATGTAAGAAGTTTTAAACATTTACTTCACAGGATTTACGGTGATTGTGTTAAATTCTCACTATTGTGTTTTCTTTTGCTCACTGTTTAGGACAACAGTTTTTGTTTTTGTTAAAATAGTTTTACAGACTAAAATTGCTTAACCTAAGAGGTTTAACAAACAACTGACAATGCATGCTCCTGTTCTCTTTCAAAAGGAAGAGCACCCATGTCGAATACTAATAATAATGTATTAGTATTCGGTGTTTAGAGTCATTGGGTCTCCCCACAAAGTAAGCATTTCTTTTTGAACTTTGTTGACATTTCCAAGCTTATTAGGAATAACATTGCAGTGTGTGTTGTCCGCTGTGGGTGGCAAAGGTGCCGTTATGAAAAGAAAACTGGGTTTTCAAAATGGGCTATGGGAGCACAAGCTGAAGCTTTAGTGCCTTCTACAGTGTGGTATGCTGTTTTCTAGAATTTTATATGTGCTAGTCATTCTCAGTTCATAGGGAATGTAGATGGATATTCCATTCACTCCCAGAGAGAAGTGTGCAAGTGGTATGTCAGAAGAGCTTCTTACATAGTTCACCTAACATGAGGGAAGTCCTGTTTTCAAGAATGACTTTAGAGCTTAAAACAACCATGCGGTTTTGGGACCATCAGTTTTATACTGTGATAATTGAAAATGAAGCATGTTCGTTCTTACTTGACTTAAATCAAAGCAAACACTTTCGTTGTCTCCATTGGATGGCCTTAATTATTACCTCTTAATTATCTTCTCATAAATGATGTGCAGAAATTCTATGTAAAGGAGAACACATGAGGTTATTTGTTTTAAGGATATGTTTACTTGAGTTTAAAATATAGGTCATCCATTACTCTTAGGCTCACTTTCTGCAGGAAGTAACAAGTAGTAAAATGACAACATTGCTAATATTTTCCCCCAAAGCCATAACTCATAGTTTCAGAAATCTTTTCATTATTGTTTTGTTTCCCCGAAGTTACACCTTTTAATTAGCATGTTATTAAAAAAATCAAGTATAATTATTTTAATGCAGTCTAATACAATCAGATTACTCCGTTGCCTTACCTCATGGGAAGAATTACTTATAGATTTAAAAAGCTGAGTAGCTCATCAGTTACTTGGTTTCAACTTGAGTTTTCTTTTAATGTTAATACTATTGAAACTTAAGTATTTGGTAGAGAATGGAAAGAATTGCCCTTATTGCAATGAAGCCTGGTTTGATTATGAAGCTGCTTAATTACTCTTTCATGTGTTCAGAATTACTGTGTTTTTTTTTTCCTTTTTGTCACTGTGTACATTAAAATTTTTGAAAATGCTTTACTATGTAAAGTATAGATGGTCATTTTAATCATTCAACCACATAAGGTTGGCTGGTAAACAGCTTATTCTGATACAAGAATGCTTGGGTGCATATGGAAAGATTGTGAAGGAGTGTGTGTCTTGCATCAACAATTGTCTTATTTATAATATGTAAGTAGAATAGAGCAAATGTTTGAATCTTTGTTATTTTTAGTACCATTTCTCTAATAAAGCTAAGTATTTTAGAGGAAAGTATTTGTTTATGCATTTCAAAACAGCATCTTAGTTTATCATGTTTTAGTTGGCATAGAGATTGTTTCGACATGGAGAATGAATGTGTGGTGTCTATAAAACAATCATTTAAAGTTTGAGTTATTTCTTGTACTCTGGACTCTTAATGTTTTCTGTGTTGGCAGTTAACACACTTAATTTGGTTCTTGCTGCTAATTATTTTTCCTGTTGGTGATATTCAGCTTTAAAATGATACTTCTTTTGAAAGACTGATATATGAAAGTTGGACCTGGATAGGAATACAAGAGATCCAGACGAAGTGAAAAAATGTTCTTAAATGGGCTTATGGAAGCAAAGCTTTTTAGGGCCTGGAGGTATTGGAGTGAGTGTGAGTATGCGTGTGTGTGTGTGTGAGAGAGAGAGAGATTGAGAGAGACAGATCGAGAGAGAGAGAGAGAGAGAAAGACATATTTTTTCTTTGTTCACTTATAGGAGCCTGGTAGGTTTCCATTTATTTGTTATTTTCTTTTAAGGCATTTTGTTTTTTTCTTTAAGGCTATTCTTTTTCAACCCAGGTAGATGTTGTCAGGAAAACTTGAGGTAAGGCAAAGAAGATAGCCATTTTATATGTGATCCCTTTATAATTATTTTTTTTAGCTTGATTATACAGAGAGTACATTCTGTTCCTTAATTGTGTTGCTATTCATCATTTTAGACAAATTCTGTTGATCCTCTTGTTCTTTCTTTTCAGCAATGCATAATGAATTATTTATATTAAGATGGGCCTTCATAATAAGCTGGCTGGTTTCATATGTGAAAACAAGTATAAATCCTTAACTTCTGCAATTGTCTCATTATTCTCAATCTAATCTAATTAATTTATAATTGCAAACACTAATCAGCTTGTGATTTTGTTCAGATTTCTTATATTCAGGAGGTTAGTCTATATATGCTATGTTGATCTTCAGAAATGTCAGAGACTTAAATTTTGAAATGCTCAAAAATAAGAACTCATATTTAGAATCCTTTTTTGTGAAGAAAATAACTTCATTTGTGATATTATTTCCAGTACCTCATTCATTCCTATATATATGTTGCTGTCTTTATCTTAAAACTTAAACCCTTAATCCAAGTCAGCTCTGAAGATTATTAATTTTAAGAATTATAATATGTAGTAACAGGCTTTTAAACATTTAAAAAATCTATTAGAAATAATATGATTTGATTTAAATGTCTTTTTTTAGTAGTTGAATTAGCTATTAAAATGAGTCCTTTTGGAGGGATACATTGAATAACTTTTAACATTTCAGTGAGTCATATTTTCACTAAAAGATAGTATCTGATTTTAACTGGGCGGGTTATGAAGTAGAGCCATTTCCACAAAATATGTTCTTTATGTGTTTAGATATTTTTTTATTTTCACACATACTTAGTATTCTTACATTTATTTAACTAGTGTAATATTCATTTAAAATTGTTTATTTTCAAATTTCAAAAGTTAGTGCTCTTAAAAGGGCTAATTTACATTTCTGGAAGCGGTAGTCCAGTATAATGTAATATAAAGTCTTTTAAAATCAAATTGACTTCCCTACTTAATTTTGGGTTTGTGGATGAATTTGTTTTTCTTAAATGTTCTATTGGTGATTCTGCCTGAAGATTGATACATTATTTTAAAAATGAAAGCTGGAGCTATTAATGATTTTTGGTCCCTATTGAGGTTGGTAGTAAGTAATAACTAGATTTCTTTCCATTCTATTTTAAGGTATTTTTATAGTTCCTAGCAACTAATTTATTAAAACTTACTTTATATTTAATATAATACTATTAATATATTGTTTTTAAAAACGGGTTTAGTTTATTGCCTGATTTTTAAATTTACTTTGTATCTGGCTAACATTTTAATTTCGAAAGTTGCCAACTTTTGGGATACTTCACATATTTTACTGCTAAGATTTATTTTCCTGGGATTGGAATGGAATAATACAGTTTTCTCCACTCCTGATTAACTTTTATTTGCTAGATAGTTTCTTGACTATATGTACAAGTTGAAATTTATGAAAATCATACTGAAGGAATTAAGAGTTGAGGGTATGGAGTTCTACCAACCTGAGGTTGCGTGGCAGGCAGCAGACTTGGGGAACAATCTACAGAACTCCCCGATTTCCACAGAAGATGACATTTGGGTGTATTGTGTAGTTGTGTAGGTAGTTCGTTTAACAGTTAAATACTACTCTCCTGAATCTTAACAATAGTGTTCTTTACATAATGCTATGATTATTAAGGGAAGAGTTTAAAATGTAAACATAAAGATGCTGCATTAGGTGGTGTATATTTATGTGAGTAGGACTACTTCTAAGTGGTACTAGTAAAGATTTATCAAATGATGCTGCTATTGTGTTGCTATATTTTTAATAAAATGAAAATCTTCAAATCTTGCCACTGTTGAGTAGTAATTTCACCTATTTCTGAGACATTGACATATTTATGGCTTTTTTAAAATAACTGAAAGGTGGTGATAAGCTCTTCCAGGGTTTTGTCATGTCTTTCTGGTTTTGAGTTTATAAAGGTCATGCTGGCCTCACAGGTTATTTGGGTAAGTGTTAACTCCCTCCTCCTCAGTTTTCTGAAGGACTGGGTATCATATTGTCATTACTTCTTCCATTAGTGTTAGGTAGAATTTCATAACAAAGCCAACCTGAGTCTGGAATTTCCTTCTTACATTACAAATCAATATTAAAAATAGATTAAGGGTTATTCATGTTATTTATTCTTGAGTAAGCTTTGGGGTTGTGCATCTTCAAAGGAATTTGTTGTCAAATCTATTGGCATAAGTTGGAAATTCCCTTGTATTTTTTTTCCCCTTGTATTTTTTTTTTTTTAAAGATTTTATTTATTTATTTGACAGAGAGAGACACAGCGAGAGAGGGAACACAAGCAGGGGGAGTGGGAGAGGGAGAAGCA